TTCTGTCTCTCGAGGAAGAAGAAGATCGAAGAGACTGATGAAGAAGAGATAGGAGAAGAGAGTAAGGTGAAGAAGAAGAAGCAGACGAGTGTGATTAAGAAGAAGACAAGGAGGGAGAGATAGCCGAGGCGAGCGACAATCGAGGAGAGTTACTTTTGTTGGCCAATGAAGCAAAAGCCAAGCCGCGTGGCAACTGCGTTTTGCGAAAAAAAAAGAGACGCGGGAGAGTTGTATGTGTATGCATATATGTATATATATATATATATGTGTATATATATGTTTTGATTATCCATTTTTTAATGCCATTTATCCCTATCATTTTCCTTCTCCTCCTTCAGATTCTGACCCATGATTTCCTTTTGAATGTCACAGGGGGAGAAAACTTATGATGTTAAGATGTTATGTATTATGGTATTATTTTTAAATTATAGTATTATTTTCAAGCTAACCTGATATTATGTATTTATAGTTTGATATCTTAGTCTCATATCATGTCTCTAATTAAAACTTATTTATTACACATGTGCTAACCTATGTATTTAGTAATGAATTCAGTGAGCATGACTTGAGGGGGAGCTTTTCTTACTCCCAAATCAAATTAAAACATCATTGTGTGCCATTATCAAAAAGGGAGAGATTGTTAAACTTATTTATTTTGATGATTTATTTAATTATGTTTTAATTTATTTGAAAGAGAAAAATAGAATTAAAATTTATTTTGTCTCATTATTTCTCACCTAAACCTTTATCCTAAATGTTGTTAGAATGTATTTAATATTTGATTAAATTGGGAGTTCAAATAGCCCAAAACAGAGGTTCAAACAGCCCAGCGCAATAGCATGTCAAAAGGTTCAAACAGCCCAGCACAGCAGCAGGCCAAAGGTTCAAACAACCCAAGCACAGCAGCAGGCCAAAAGGTTCAAGTGGAAGATATTCAAATTAGTAATGATGGAGTGGAAGAAATTCAAATTAGTAATGATGGAGTATAACAGCTATAAATTCAAATGAATACAACGGCTATAAACGGCTATAAATTCAAATGAATACAACGGCTATAGACGGGTATAAGTTTCATTATATATACCAAAGTCTCTAATGTAAACAAGTTACAAAAAAAATCAAAAAATATTCTTTGATCTATAATCACTCACATCTATTATCTGAAAAATTTTCTGAGAAGTGTTTTTCAATTTTTGTTTACATCCTCTCTCAGAAATTATATACTGAGCCTTATAGCATTAAGTTCATCTTTTCTGTATGAGATTTACAGAAAAAGCAAAGCTTCATTTTATATATATATCTTTGAGAGATAATTCTTGTAGCTTTCTGTGAAAGTAAAAACACATTCTTTTCAATCCTGTAAGAGTGTAGTACACTCGGTGTTCTTGACTTAGAAAGTCTATGTAAAATCCGTGAAGGATTGCTCCATTTGTAAAGAGGTTGCTAGCACCCCCGTGAAACTAGAGTATAGTAGAAAATCTCAAGTGAAGCTTGAGGAGTGGACGTAGGCCGAGTTGGAGTCGAACCACTATAAATTTGTTTGTCTCTCTCCCTTATCTCTTTATTTTATTCAAATTGCTGTAACTATATTTCACATTTTCACTATGCTAAAATCATTAACTGATATAGTTGTTTGAACATTTGTTTTAATTATTTTTATTTCATTAACTATATTTATCTATTGTGCTAATCATGATTTTTATTAGGATATTATTAATTTTTAATTATAAAAATCTAATTCATCCCTCCTTTTAGGTTGGCTTTTGGATAACAGGGTAGTTGTCCAATGTGGTGGTTCATTGTGAGTCCATTTTGAGTCTGTACTAATGATCTAAATTATTTATTTTATAAATCTCCCTAAAATGATCATGTGTATAAAAAAATTATGTTAATTAGACATGGAGAGTCATTCGATTAAATTATATTTGTCTTTTACTAGTTTATTTATTTATTTATTTATTTGATTTTTAACGATATAAAAGGACAATAGATAGGACTCTATCTAGAAAATGGGTAGTCTGGGCTTGCCTTTCTGGTTGCCAGCTTTAAAAACTGTCCAAAGCCCAAGTTTCTTGACTTTTTAAAGGAAGGCCAGCTCTCAAAATATCCTTTGTGGTTTGATATTTCAGAAATTATTTTTTAATTGATTTTTGTTAATTTTTTATATTTTATTAATATAAAACATAAAAAAAAAATTGCTCGAAACATCTAAAAAAGAAATTGATTAAAATATTAAAAAAAATCATTAAAAATATATAAAAATCTGTCTACAAATAATTTTTAAAAAATCAAAGCAAACAAAAATTTCTTAACCTTTTCAAATAAAAAGATAAGATAAAATGAAAAAATCTTAACTTCTCATCATCTTCATAATAAAACCACCTATACCAACCGAACTTTGAATGCGACCCCACCTTTAATACTCGGTTGTCCTTTTATCAAGTGGCTGTACCTACTATTTATTTTCGGATAGAAGACAAGGAAACTCCTACTCGGACGATTTTTTTGGTTTGACCAATACGATCTTTTCTTTCTTTTTTTGGAACGAATTTTTTTTTTTAAACGAAAAAAAGATGTTCCGTCAAAAATCATAGCATTTGTGAGTCTGAGTTTAAGATAATTAGTTGACAGTTAAATTTAATCCAGTCTAAAGAAAGAGGCCTTAGGAATTTAGCTCAGACGATTGAAGATCTATTTTTTTTGACATTAAAAAGAAAAAAAAAAAAAAAAAACTTACCAAGACAAAAGCAATTAAATTTTTATTCAAACGATGAATGAGTGTTGGAAATTAAAATGGCATTGTGTGAGATCATATATAGAAAAAAGCTAGATCATAAATTAAAACTCTACATTTATAATATTACTATTAAAAAAAAGTGAATCAATATCTCTTTAAGATAAAAGTTGACTGAGAATAGTTTATTACACAAATAGATGTCCTTTGAGACATTTATTTATTTAAGTTGAAGAATTCTCCACTATATTTTGGTTGTTTGTGGAGAAATTATTTTATGTATATCTAATATTGTGCTAGCTATGTCAACATGTCATATTTAAATTCATGTCTTTTAACTCACTAATTCAATTCGTTGACATAATTCAAATACAATATAATATTCACTCCTAAAGATTTACAAATAAAATTATACACATTAAACTACTCTTTCTCGCATTAGAAAGTGGAGTCCACGCCACGTGATTGTGTTGGCTCTCCACCCCGTATGAGTGAATGTATGATTTAATCGGTAAAATTCTTATATATTCTTGAATTTCATTTAATTAATGTACCCAAAATTATTCTTGAATTTCATTTAATTAATGTACCCAAAATCATGCCGGTAGCTGTCTCTAGAGCAATTCGGGATTTAATTAATGTACCCAAAATTATTCTTGAATTTCATTTAATTAATGTACCCAAAATCATGCCGGTAGCTGTCTCTAGAGCAATTCGGGTGTGGGGTTGGAGTCCTGGTTGCCACCTTTGATTTTATCTTAGAAGTCCAATTTCATTAGATTTTTCAACATCACTAAAATTCTCCCAAATGTTCCTTGACCTTTCAACATGCATAAAATAAAATATTTGGAAGTATCAGGCTAGGAATTTGAAAAAAATGTACTCAGAAAAATTTCAAGAAAAAGTATTGAATAGTTATTTTAAAAGTGAATCCCATTATTCAAAATTAAATCTACATCATTTAATAACATTTTGAATATATTTCTGGATTATTTTTCTGGTTCCACAGCTTTTCAAATTTGGAAGAGTAAATGCTATTGTTGATCATATATTTTGCATTAGTCAATCATAACCTGACACATGGTTCATCAGGAATAATTTAGGAGATTGGTAGAGATCTCCAATCATCAGAAGGCACGTGGCAAAATTATATCAATGGCAATGGATATACGACGTACTAGAACAATCAAGATGAGCAAGGTGATGTGGCCAAACAATTGTTGGAGGTTTAAATTCAAATTCGGAGGAAGCCCAACTATAAGAGTGACTTAGTGGAAGCAAATTGCTTGAACCATGTCCCATGATCGTGGAGGTTATTTTGACGGTTATCATCCACTGCGACAGTTATCAGCCATTTCAACGGTTACCACTAGAACATATAAATAGAGGAGAAAGCTGACAGTGGAAGGCCCAAAATCAGATTCAGAAACTAGTCTATTTTATTTTACATTTTTCCAATTCTTTATTTTCCAGTTATTTACTTTTCAGTTCTTTACATTCTAATCATTTACTTTCTCACACTACATTTCAGTTTCTTAGGAGTAGTTCTAAGTTAGTCTGTTCATGCTGTAATCCCCTTCGAAACTATGAATGTGTGAAGGTACATCTGTAAATATTGATTTACTTAATGAATTTTATTTTCTAACATTGTTCTTTCCCTCCTTTTACTTTTGTGATTAATTCTTCTGAATTTTCTCCTAAAACAAGTCACTAGTAAAAGTCTCATCATTGAAGCTAAAAGAATTTCAAAACAATTATTTGATTAATTGGTTGACATTTATTATTTATATAAGAATTTATTGATCTTTATTGACACGCTCTAATTATATTTTTAACTTTTAAAAGTGAAACGACCAACAGCTATCTATCTAGTATAAAATTTTCCTAAAAATGAGATGGTAAATTTGGTCAACAATTTATGTTTTTGGATAATTTTTTAGTATAAATCACCAACGCACAAAAAAAAAGGTTCTAATATAAAATGAAGAGTACTACCCTAATTTAAAAATTAAATCTACTTTTTAACTTAGTGATATTATAAATATTATATATAATTCAAATACAATTTTAAAATGGAGTGAGTGATTTATTTTTATTTTTTTTAATCAGAAAAAAAGGAAGTTCTGTAGAGACATTACGACCTCCGCGGTAGCCAGTTATCAAAACCAGTGAATTTGAGGCATATATTTAATTTCCGTACAAATTTTCATTCGTATGACTTAAACTTGTTGCATCCAAAATCAAATCTATAAATACCCCTGCTACAATCTTATCTTTCCACATCTTTATCTGCTCAACCCAAAAGCCATCTCTCCAATGGCTTATCGTCACCCTCATCAATTCCCACTCATTCCCACCCTCCTCATCTCCCTCCTCTTCACCACCATCACCACCACTCTAGCTAAAGTCCCCCCAAACCAAACCTTCCATTTCGTAAACCAAGGCGAATTCGGAGACAGAATAATCGAATACGACGCCGGTTATCGCGTAATCCGCAACAATGTCTACACCTTCTACACCTTCCCCTTCCGCCTCTGCTTTTACAACACCACCCCCGACTCCTTCGTCTTCGCAATGCGCGCCGGCATTCCCAACGACGAGAGTTTGATGCGGTGGGTGTGGGACGCCAACCGCAATGACCCTGTCGGTGAGAATGCCACCCTCTCCTTTGGAGAGGATGGCAACTTCGTCCTCGCCGACTTTGACGGCCGACTCGTCTGGCAGACCAACACTGCCAACAAGGGTGTCACCGGAATTAAGCTACTCCCCAATGGTAACTTAGTCCTTTTCGATAAGAACGGTGCGTTCGTATGGCAAAGCTTTGATCACCCTACTGTTTGAGACATTTATTTATTTAAGTTGAAGAATTCTCCACTATATTTTGGTTGTTTGTGGAGAAATTATTTTATGTATATCTAATATTGTGCTAGCTATGTCAACATGTCATATTTAAATTCATGTCTTTTAACTCACTAATTCAATTCGTTGACATAATTCAAATACAATATAATATTCACTCCTAAAGATTTACAAATAAAATTATACACATTAAACTACTCTTTCTCGCATTAGAAAGTGGAGTCCACGCCACGTGATTGTGTTGGCTCTCCACCCCGTATGAGTGAATGTATGATTTAATCGGTAAAATTCTTATCTATTCTTGAATTTCATTTAATTAATGTACCCAAAATTATTCTTGAATTTCATTTAATTAATGTACCCAAAATTATGCCGGTAGCTGACTCTAGAGCAATTCGGGTGTGGGGTTGGAGTCCTGGTTGCCACCTTTGATTTTATCTTAAAAGTCCAATTTCATTAGATTTTTCAACATCACTAAAATTCTCCCAAATGTTCCTTGACCTTTCAACATGCATAATATAAAATATTTGGAAGTGTCAGGATGGGAATTTGAAGAAAATGTACTCAGAAAAATTTCAAGAAAAAGTATTGAATAGTTATTTTAAAAGTGAATCCCATTATTCAAAATTAAATCTACATCATTTAATAACATTTTGAATATATTTCTGGATTATTTTTCTGGTTCCATAGCTTTGCAAATTTGGAAGAGTAAATGCTATTGTTGATCATATATTTTGCATTAGTCAATCATAACCTGACACGTGATTCATCAGGAATAATTTAGGAGATTGGTAGAGATCTCCAATCATCAAAAGGCACGTGGCAAAATTATATCAATGGCAATGGATCTGCAAAGTGCTAGAACAATCAAGATGAGCAAGGTGATGTGGCCAAACAATTGTTGGAGGTTTAAATTCAAATTCGGAAGGGAAACCCAACAATAAGAGTGACTTAGTGGAAGCAAATTGCTTGAACCATGTCCCATGATCGTGGAGGTTATTTTGACGGTTATCATCCATTGTGACAGTTATCAGTCATTTCAACGGTTACCACCAGAACATATAAATAGAGGAGAAAGCTGACAGTGGAAGGCCCAAAATCAGATTCAGAAACTAGTCTATTTTATTTTACATTTTTCCAGTTCTTTATTTTCCAATTATTTACTTTTCAGTTCTTTACATTCTAATCATTTACTTTCTCACACTACATTTCAATTTTTTAGGAGTAGTTCTAAGTTAGTCTGTTCATGCTGTAATCCCCTTCGAAACTGTGAAAGTGTGAAGGTACATCTGTAAATATTGATTTACTTAATGAATTTTATTTTCTAACACTGTTCTCTCCCTCCTTTTACTTTTGTGATTAATTCTTCTGAATTTTCTCCTAAAATAAGTCACCAGTAAAAGTCTCATCATTGAAGCTAAAAGAATTTCGAAACAATTATTTGATTAATTAGTTGACATTTATTATTTATATAAGAATTTATTGATCTTTATTGACACGCTCTAATTATATTTTTAACCTTTAAAGTGAAACCGCCAACAGGTATCTATCTAGTATAAAATTGTCCTAAAAATGAGATGGTAAATTTGGTCAACAATTTATGTTTTTGGATAATTTTTTAGTATAAATCACCAACGCACAAAAAAAAGGTACTAATATAAAATGAAGAGTATTACCCTAATTTAAAAATTAAATCCACTTTTTAACTTAGTGATATTATAAATATTATATATAATTCAAATACAATTTTAAAATGGAGTGAGTGATTTATTTTTATTTTTTTTAATCAGAAAAAAAGGAAGTTCTGTAGAGACATTACGACCTCCGCGGTAGCCAGTTATCAAAACCAGTGAATTTGAGGCATATATTTAATTTCCGTACAAATTTTCATTCGTATGACTTAAACTTGTTGCATACAAAATCAAATCTATAAATACCCCTGCTACAATCTTATCTTTCCACATCTTTATCTGCTCAACCCAAAGCCATCTCTCCAATGGCTTATCGTCACCCTCATCAATTCCCACTCATTCCCACCCTCCTCATCTCCCTCCTCTTCACCACCATCACCACCACTCTAGCTAAAGTCCCCCCAAACCAAACCTTCCATTTCGTAAACCAAGGCGAATTCGGAGACAGAATAATCGAATACGACGCCGGTTATCGCGTAATCCGCAACAATGTCTACACCTTCTACACCTTCCCCTTCCGCCTCTGCTTTTACAACACCACCCCCGACTCCTTCGTCTTCGCAATGCGCGCCGGCATTCCCAACGACGAGAGTTTGATGCGGTGGGTGTGGGACGCCAACCGCAATGACCCTGTCGGTGAGAATGCCACCCTCTCCTTTGGAGAGGATGGCAACTTCGTCCTCGCCGACTTTGACGGCCGACTCGTCTGGCAGACCAACACTGCCAACAAGGGTGTCACCGGAATTAAGCTACTCCCCAATGGTAACTTAGTCCTTTTCGATAAGAACGGTGCGTTCGTATGGCAAAGCTTTGATCACCCTAGTGATACTCTCATGGTGGGTATGTCTGTTCGGATCAACGGACGAAACAAGCTCGTCAGCCGGACCTCCGATGTGGATGGCTCTGATGGGAAATACAGTCTTGTTCTTGAAGATAATGGGTTCAACATGTATATCAACAACTCCGGCGACCTTCTAGTCTATGGCGGTTGGGGAGGTAGAAGCTTAGGATCCATTGTTACATTCGATGCAGTGCCCGAAAACGATAATGCCACCGCTTTCGAGCTAGTCCTGACCGTGAACCAAGACCCACCGCCACCAGCACCGCCAAGTCGACGCCGTCTCCTCCAACGTAAGGTACAGGGTGGTTCCCAAATTAATCTCAACAAGCTCAACTACAACGCTACCTACTCGTTCTTGCGGCTTGGATCGGACGGTAATCTCAGGGCATACACTTACTATGATCAAGTGAGCTACTTGAAATGGGAAGAGAGCTTTGCTTTCTTTTCGAGCTATTTCATAAGAGAATGTGCTTTGCCTTCCAAGTGTGGGAAGTATGGGTTGTGTGAGAGGGGGATGTGCGTGGCGTGCCCGAGCCCAAAAGGGCTTTTGGGGTGGAGCGACAGTTGTGCTCCACCCCAATTGCCGCCATGTAAAGGCGGAGCTAAGGCGGCGCAGTACTATAAGATTGTTGGGGTGGAGAACTTCTTGAACCCTTATTTGGATGATGGTGAGGGGCCAGTGAAGGTTGGGGAGTGCAGAGACAAATGTAGTAGGGACTGCAAGTGTTTAGGGTTTATTTACAAGGAAGACACTTTTAAGTGCTTGCTTATGCCCTTGCTTGGGACTCTTATTAAGGATGTGAACACTACTTCTGTGGGGTATGTTAAGTATTCCAAGTAGGAATTTCAATTTGTCTTGTTTTTTGAGGTTAATTTAGATCATGAGTCCATGTTGTTGGGTGTGAGGATAAATGGACTCTCATGTATCTTTTAATTGTTTTTTTTTTTTAATTTTTTTTATCGGCAAAATTTCAGTATTTTTTATTTTGAATAATGAAAATTAAGATGAATCATAATAATGGGTTGCTGCAAATTATGTGTCATCTTCAAAGTTAAAATCGTGTGCTTAGTTGCTTAGATTTTGTTTGGCTATAGTTAAAAAAAGTTAGTTTATTAACTAAATAAAGTTATTCTGCTTGAAAACCTGAGCTTATTTTGCAAATTCAATTTTGGTCAAAAAATTCCTTAGAGCTGCTCTAGAAACCCATTTGAAAAGTCAAAAATTAAAAATATGTGCTAAATGAACTTGTTTGTTTGTTTGTTTGTTTGTTTATTTTCAATTTTTTTTTTTTAACCCAAAAAGAGCTTCGATGAAGATATTGGTGTTTTTTATTTTATTTTATTTTATGTATTATTAAGTTTCTTTCATAATTAGATATTCAATTTCATATAGTAAGTTATTTATAGATAAAAATTGAGTATTTTTTTTTAATATTTTATAATTGATAGGAAATATGAAGATAAATATATAAAACTCAACAACCAACTTAAGAAAGAGCCCTTATAATAGAAAAAAAAATAAATAACAATAAAGTCAAAGAAAAAACTCCATAATAGAGGACAAATCATTAGGGGCTCATGGGGGCAGAGGTCTTGTTTCATTTTGTTCAACTATGTAAGTGGATCATTCATGAAAAATATTATATTAATTTGAAAAGAAATGAATAACAAAGATAATTTTAAAAATAAGTCATTCTTTTTTATTGAATCAAGAATTTCATTTTCAATTTGGTTTTAGTTGAACATATTTATCTACGTATCGAAAAAAATATATATTTTGCACATGTCACGATCCAAAGTTTTATTATTATGAAATTCATATTTCTAAACCGAATATTAATAAGTTAAAAATTTTATGAACTAAACAATATAATAACACAGATGTCATATATAACAGATACAATTTGATCAGAGATGAACAAGACTATTAAGCTTACGACAAGGTTGGTCTTAATCTTAACTATTGAGTCAGGATGGGCTTGATAAGCTTCTCAATGGTCTTGGACTTTTTTATTTTTGTCGACATCACCCTATTGGGCCTTCAAAGTTGGGCTTTTTCTAGATCCACCATGGTGGGCTGCGCAAAAACCAAACGATTATGGAAAGCATAACATTCCTTTACTTTTGAGGCTTATCTTCTCTCTTTCTTTTTTTCCCTTTTCTTTTCTTTTTTTTAATTTATTAATTTATTTTTTAATGAACTTATCTTTTGTCAAAAGCACCCAGGTCTTTATAGTAATTTCCACAATAACATTACACTTAATTTTTATACCTCATTTACTTTATTATTTATTATGACACATTCACAATTATTAAATGAATAATACTTGAGACTCCTAAAATTTGTGACTCTCACAACGTCCAATTAATTTATGACCACTCATTAGTTATTTATTTATTTATTTGTTTTCCTCCCTCTCTCCTCCTTCTCTCTCACAAATGTGTAGGGGTGTGGGGTTTGGGAGTCCCTATATTACAGTTGTTATTAAATAGTGAAATTTATATGAAATTATTATATGCACGCATCCCGTATTTTGAAAAGATACCTTAGTGTAAATTCCAATTATTTTGTCATAAATTTGGATAAATTACTCCAGCCCCTACTTATTGGGATAAAGTGAATTTTGCCATAAAATTAAATTTGGAAGTAAGATAATAATTTACAAACACAATTTTATACCTAAAAATTCATATATAATGATATGACATTGATATTTTTATAATTTTAAATCATAATAATTGATATTTTATTTTGAAATTAAAGTATTATAATTAAAAAAAATTAAAAATCACATCATTACTTTATGAAGTAAATGATGTACTGAGAGGGTGGTGATCCCAATTATTTGACCATATATCCAGGTAGGTTGCCATTGAAAACATCACCAAAGAACAATCTTTTAGCAATTAAGATTATTGGGGTAGCTTGCAATTTGGCAATGATATCAAATGTTTCATCTTTTTGCCACAAAGTTGTCTGATTGATCAAATATAAAGTGGTAACCAGATTTGATATATAGCCTTAGCATAGCATCTTACTATGCTTTCTTTTCTGTAACATAACTATACTCCTATCAAGGACTAGGCCATACAATGTATTTGATCCTCTCCAAACACCCTATAGACACCATGAAGATACTGCACTTCTTTTGCTGGTTAAAATTTCAGACACAAATTTAGAAAGAAATTATTTTGCCGGAAGGAAATATTTTAGTTATTAAAAGTATCATTATTATATTTTTAGTACTGAATTGCCATTTTTTGAACTAAAATTTTTGTCTAAAAAAGTAAATTTTTTACACGAAATTGTTGTCCCTAAAAAAACATTTATTAGAGACATTTCAAAAATATTTTGCAAAAATATATTTTTTACACGTTTTTGGACAGCTTTTTCGTGACACAACTAGAACTGGTCTTCTATTGATTTTTGTAATAAAATTTTTATTTTTAAAAATAATTAAAAAAAAATCCTTAAAACCCTTTCCAACCTCTGTAAAAAGATGGGCAATCCAATCCCAACCTTTAACTTTATTTATATGCTGATCTATCAAAACTGTAACTACCCAAAATTAACTTCTTGTGTCTCCTTAGAACTCATACCTGATTTACTTGTGAGTCTAATAAAAAAGGTTAGAAAATGGACTGTACATCAGTTTGTCAAGATCACTTGGCTGGACTATTTCATTGAAGATATCTGACATTTCAAGAATTTTTTTAGAGACGGCAGAAGAGCAATGGTATAGAAATAATAAATTGCTTTGCTAATTTTAGCAAAATAAAAAGAACTTTAAGCAAAAACCAAACAGTTGAGGGGTGGTGGGGACTGACTGCTTTACTCAAAAGTGTGATATTAGTTGTCTAATCAAATCCATTTTTGTTGACTAAGGCATCTTAACCAATCTTTTACCTGATTCAACTACAGATCAAAATTAATTAGATGAATCTAATAAGCTGGTCCAAGAGTTACTCAATGCTAGAGGGGCCATCTTTATACCCATTCATGGTTCAAACATATTACACACATCTATTATTTTATTTTATTTTTTCTGATCAATCAAAAAGAGATCTTTATTGATGAGAAATCAATACAACATATAAGAACATTACATCAATAAAGGGGGAGAATGGTGCAAAAGACATCATAACTTAATTTTCAAATCCCAACTAAGTTGGCACCCAAAAACAAGAACAATCATACGACAACGCCAAATCGAAAGTTGGTGAGAAATCAAAAAAAAAAAAAAAACAACAACAACAACAACAACAACAACATCAGCAATAGACCACCAGCACTAACACAAAATTATCAGGACATAACAGCTAACCACCCACAATCAACCATACCTCAAAGACATAGCCTTACCTGATTAAGATCATCCACAGTATCGTGAATAAAGGGATCTCGGGCAGCCCAGACCTAACCCACAGCCCAATCCTCACTTTCACAATTTCACCAAGCTCATCCATATTTGGCTGGCTCCCATTAAAGACACACTCATTTCTTAACCTCCATGCTAACCACATCATTGCAATTGGTACAAGCCTCCAAATCTTCAAAACTGGCTTCTTAAATTAATTTTTTTTATATATGCAAGATTACACTAATTTTTATAATGGATAGAAGGGAAAACACAATCAGAACACAAAAACTATTCAAAGAGTTTAACATGTAGTTTAGATTCATTTAAGATGTGGTTACATCATATAAAAGTTGAATATAAATTTTAAATCATACATTATTTTTTTAGATTGATTTTTGTACATAAATTTTGTGTATTTATTAGTAAAAGAGTCACTCTTAGACCAGGTCTATTACGGCTTGGGGTTTTAGTCAATGATAAGAGATGAGTAGGGAAGATTGGAAAAAATTCTCAATTTGATTGAAATTTCTTCTTGGTAGGTAAATCATTCTTTTTTAGTTATATTTTTCTGCATATAATGTTTTTACTGATGAAAGAGTGGTCTCATTGGTTAGACCAGGTCTATTACTGCTTGGAGGTTTAACCAATAATTAGAGATGACTAGGGAAGATAATAAAAAATTCTCAATTTGATGTGTTTATATACTAACTCTTAACTGAAATTTCTTCTTGGTAGGTAAATCAAACTTTGAAGTTAGATGAAACACTAGAGACTGAAATATAAAGCCAAAAAAAAAGAGAGCACTATCATCACAAATTATCGTGTTTCATCATTAATCACATTTTAAGATCACATTTATCTATAAAAAAATGATCGCAAGTATAATTTTAAAAATAGATCATTTATTTTTTTAAAACAAATGTTATCCAAACATATAATTACTAATACCCGATAAATTTAATTTTTTATATGAATGATCTACTCGATGTGAACCCATAATAGGCTAAATTGGGCCCATTTGATTTTTACTCTCATACAACAAACTGTATCTATGCATGTAGGCTCCATTATATTTTAAACATAAGAAATCACATAAAATGAGTAGAATTTTTGTAAAATATTATAGTGATACAGAACAGGATAAATTTAAAATTAAAAATAAATAAAAAAAATCTAGATTTCATTCATGGCTATGCCTTGATAGTAACTAGAATAATACCAGTGATGGGGGCCATAAGTTTTTGCATCATTGGCTGTCTTCCTCGATGTAAATAGAGAGTAAAATATGATACACAAAAAAATTTCATGACTGCACTCATATAAAATTGACATGTTAGCTTGGATTTAGGAAACAGGGTTGAAGGGTACACATGATATTTCATAGGTTTGTGTATATGTTTCAATACAAGTTACAAAAAGTGAGGGAAAGATGAAGGAAACAGTCAATCAACAACAAAAACATCACTAACAAGTAGTACTACTGTTGGATATTATTATTATCATTAAGCATTATCACACTAAGTCCACTGTTGTTGATGGTTGTGACTGTGGTGCCAATTATATTAGGAAATTGTTAGTCTCACAACCCTAGTTTTTAACAAATAATGAAGCTCGAGGGGTAACCGAACGTGTGGCAACTTACTGTTGGCCCTTGAAATTTATTTCAC